ACGTGGGGCGTGTCTTTTCAAGTGGAGGGGTGTCAGGTGGGTAGAGTCCATTAAATTTGGCAGGGGTGTCATGTGAGTCCATTTTATTTTAAGAGTGAAATTTATTTTTATCACAAATAAAAATTAACATTATTAACTGCACATTTAGGAATTTGTTAAAAACAAAATTGGTCAAATATTATTTGTATGATCTCAGTTTGCTTTAGAGAAGAGGAACTCATACTTTCAAAATATTAATTTTGGGCAATTTCAACTGTTGCCTTAAAAAAACGTGGTTTAAGGTAACACTGGAATATTTCCATCTTTTTCATTTTTTTTCAAATTTCAAATTGAAGTTTTCATACGAAGAATAGGGTGGGCATTATATAAAATAAAATTACGAACTCAAACCCGTTAAAAATTAACCTGTCCTATGTTGAGAAATAAGAAGAAGAAAAGAACGTTAATTTAAAGTTTAAAATTCATATAAAATATTCAGTAAACTTTACAGGGGTAAAATGAACAAAATAAGATGAATACAGTTGATAAATGAATAGGCAGTTAAAACATAAAGATATAGTACAATTTAAAGATAATAAGCGAGTCAAATCAATTATAAAGTCTTTTGAAAATAACAGTAGTTTTATATATTGTTCCATTCATTTGGTCCATAGACTTGAAGAGCCAGATCGCCGTATATTTTCTGGCATTACATGGCATCAGCAATTTCTGGTCAAGTGATCTTGAACTACGTTTTGAAGCATTATGGTTAACCAATTTTAGAAGGTAAGGGGATGTTAATTGATAAACAATTTTGAATAAAATACCTGCTCTAACAAGGAGCCAGAGCAACTGCTTTACAATATGTGTGATACGAGTCGCCCAGGGTATGCGGGTTACAAGACGCGCTGAAATATTCTGAATTTACTGCAGTTTTTTATTCACATAATTATAGGAATGTTATATCCAGGAAAACAGATGCTACAGAACAAAAGATTTGTTAATTTTTGAAAAGCGGTATTGTAAATTTTTACAAATTTACACTATGTGGGTTGTTGGAAACCATTTTAGATATTTTATTGGCGTGTTAAATGGTTTGAATGCTCAAATCCCACTATTTACATATTAATACTGGGCAAATTGTTATCATGTTTAGAACTATTTTAATTTAAGATATCTTTAGATACATCAAGTTCAAGAAATTATTTACAGATCAGATTAAGTACATCGAGTTTGAAAGTCCTCAAACACAAAATTATATAACTAATTTCAAATAAGAAAGATTTATATCTATATCATTATTATTTCAAAACTGAATGAAAAAAAACGCGGAAATACTCAAATATTTATTCAGCTTTCAAATACAGTGTAACAGATGCACGAATGAGCGTGGGATCCCTGTGTGTGAGACAAAGGCTAGACATCATAGGTTGCTTTCAGGCGCATGCTATGCAGAGCCTCGTCGAGCTCCTGAAAAGAAAAAAATTATGTTTACAATTTTAGACTAAATGGACAGGCTTTCACACAACATACAAATATGCATGTAATATCCCACAGGAGAAGGTACTTATAATTGAAATGGAGTGCGTATTTATTGACTAGTCTGATGCTCAGACTCAGCTAGCGTCACTAAATAATGTTTTATCCATATATGGGAAGGAATGAGCGCAAAAAAAAAAACAAGGTTGGCTTACGCCAAAATCATAAACTGGATTTAGTTCATGATATACTGCAACTATGTGAGGCCTCTTACTAAAAACATTGATAATGCAACCCGTTTTATTTGAAGGGGGATTATTTCTGTGACCGTTAATATAATTCTCTTGATATTTAAAGTTATAGCACTTATTGAAGTGCATATTGACGCATTTTGACAGAATTGTAATAATTACTTATCATAGACCTTGGTGGCAACACTTACATTTAAACACGTACTGTACACACCATTTTAAATAAGGTCAAAAATATTTGAAATCGATTGTAAGTAGCACACAAAATGTCCAAACAGATAAAAAAAATGGTGCAGAGCTTAAAGATTTCAAGCAAACATAGGTTTTCACCAAATGTAAGGTGAAAGCGCCGTTCATCCCGTACTTTTGGAGTCCCAATGCAAAATATTATTACCAATGAATTTCATTTTGAAGAACATACAAGTAATAATACTAGTACAATTTGTCGTACATATATTTTATCAATCTGAGCCTTAAGTATTTAATGGTGGAAGTTATTGAAGAAAAAGTGATACTCACAAACATGTGTTTGCTTCTATGCTTTCTAAACCCCAACGTTGTGACTGCACCACACATACTGTTGCGTCTACACCGGACCGTGTCCAACTGCCAAGTGAGCATTCGGGAAGACAGCTCACACTTATTGTTATGCAAATTACAACAGGTATGGCTCATTTTAGGTGATGGGTTGTTACTGAAACTGTGTAGGAATGTTCAATTAATCCGGTGGTGATGCCTTTACATTCGTTCAATGTGTTGCGTATAATCGATGGCACATGGGATACCCATGTGCACCAGTGCCTCTTTATGCTAGATCTAGGTGTGACAGAGCCTTTATATATTGGCTCGACCATCAGCAAACATCACAAGGTTATTTATGTGAATGGGATTGTCCGCAGATGAACGAAAAGGGTCGAAAAAGCATACACACAGTGTACATGTAGACTACACTAACACAACCACATCCTTTCAGTTTTGAAGCTGAGAGGCAGGGTTGAATTAACTTTTCCGTACATGCCGATCTCAGAAATACTGGAGGACGCCATGTTGTTTCCCCAGTGACTAACATAGTTAAAGATGAATTTTAAGATCGAGCTTTATATTTTGGTTTATTATTATGCGACAACGGAGCACCTCCCCTTCACCAACCCTTCCACCTTCCCTGCATAATCGATTGCAATTTCTAAGTGGCAGAATCGAATGAAAAACGAAACTTGAAACTAGAGTGTACAGAATCTGATGTGAGTGGGTGTTTTATCACTAAAATGGACATTCTGCATAACTTGGAAGAGTGTAAAAATCGTGTAAAATCTATTCAAGGCACTTTTTACATAAAACTTGCGGCGAATCTTTCTTTCTTTACTTTCATTATGTTTTTATCCAACGAGTTTCAATATTTTAGCACCATATATTCTAATCCAAATTTTCCAAATCAATATCCAAATTTTCACTTAACCCTGCGCCTCAATCCCCCCAGGATAGTATGTGTATGATAACGTTGACAACTATATTGTAAATTCTTCAGAGAGTTTCTGAACGTCGTGTGTTTGCCCGTCACGTCATCTGGACAGAGAATTCGTGAACACAAATGTTTTTTTTTTTTTTTTAATTTCAGTATTTTGCTTTATTTCATTCAGTATCTACTGTAAGATAGATCGTCAAAGGTATGAATTAAAAAGCGTGTCCTGATGAACAACACGGTCCATCATTGGTGATGTATCTTAGTACACTGGCAGATTGCCAGCATTCATTGGCGGTCTGCCAGCAGGGCCGTGCGTCTGCGGTCTGCCGGCATACACTGGCGGGTTAACGTTGCCAGCAGGTCCGTACACTGGCGGTCCGCCGGCATACACTGGAGGTCTCACAGCGGGGCCGTACATTGGCGGTCTGCCAGCAGGTCTGTTCACTGACTGTATACCGGGGTTCACTGGTGGTTGCGGGCCAGGACCACCTGGTGATCTGTTCCCAGAGCCTCTAACTGGCGTATATCTAATAGGTACCTCCCTGGTCTTGGTGGAGCTGACAAGGGACTCGGTCCCTTCACCATTGCAGCCATTTCCACTACAGGTACAAGCTTGGTTCTGTACTTTGATGTTCTGGAAGCCCGTGTGCTGTTGCAGTTGCTGAAAGAGGTTTCCATCCTTGTCTACAGGAGTTCCATCCACACACTGGCTGGTTGTTCGCACGGATACACAATCTCTTTCTATGGTTTCTACCTGCATAAACCGCCCGTTTCTCTGGAAAGGTTTAACATTGTACCAAGGAGATGAAACCACATGCAATTTTATCATAAGCTTGCATTAATGCTGTTGGCCCTGGGCTTACAAAAAAGTAAAAAAAAATGTTTCAATTTTTTCACTTAACGCGCAATTAGTTCTGAGGTTTTGTAGATCCGATAAGGGCAAACTTCTTTATTTTAAAAGTGATAATAGGCCTATCAATGATATGATATGGCACGTTTCTAACCTGAAGCTAAGGGCACGCTAAATCGCTCCTTGATTTTATTCTTTCACTGCAAATGGAACCATGTCCAACGTTCTTCATGATAAAAAATTGAATCTAAAATTAGTCTAGAAAGATTCACTAACCGAGGACATGTAAACTGTAGAATTTGTGATGCCACAGGAACCGCGGCAACTAATCATAGGGGCATACTGGGAATTCTTGCAGGATGCCTGAATCTGATTGGCCACCCCAGCATTCAGCATCTGTTCCATTGCCGGGTCACTACTCCGGAACTGCCTCCACTGGCACTTGTAACACTGGGTGACGGGGACTGTAATGAAAAAGATAGCAAAGTATACACTCTCTCTTTGTCCCATTCTCTCTCTCTCTCTCTCTCTCTCTCTCTCTCTCATTGACCCATTCTCTCTATCTTTCTCACAGCACTTTTCTCTATCCCGTATGTCTTTCTTTCTCTCTCTCCATTTGGCCCATTCGCTCTTATTTTCTCTCTGCACTTCTCTCTCTCTCTCTCTCTCTTTCTCTCTCTCTCTCTCTCTCTCTCTCTCTCAAACTCACCTGGGGCCATTACAGGAAGATTCCTGGTGTTTGCATTGCATCCATCCGAATTACACAAACAATAACGTCCCTGGACACTGGTAAAACGAGGCACAGTCCCCAATATGGCTCCCAAGTAACCTTGGACCTTTTTCTCGTCTTCCTCCATGGTCAGTGCTTGACAACCGACATCCAGGCTTTGTAGAGCGTTGCACCGGCGCATGTGAAGTGTAAGTGTTATTGGTGGACCTCCCTGAAGATGAGATAATTAATAATAGCATACCATATAAAAGGCATGTGTAATTATTTTAAAAAGTTCATACTTGACCAATATTTAAATTAAACGAAACCTCTTAGAGAGATGGAGAGGGTACTAGGCTACATATGTTCCTTTTCAATGACCATGTTTTATTTGTTGCCAACTTCCGTTGCAGATCAAAATTTGGTGAAAGTTTGCGTCCCTTACTGATTCCCATTTTCTGATAATGTACAGAACTTGGATATGATTAAAATAAAAATAAATTTTGTTTTTGCCCATTTTCTGACATTGGAGAGTACCTGTGTGCTGAATTTAATGGTTGCTTATTTTGCGAAGTCAGTATAGGCCTATGAGGAACATTCACGCACATACTGGTATAATAAAAGTTTTTATTACATTATTATGGAAAAAACAATACAAAAAACTCACATCTCTCTGGAGTCCAACGTTGGAGGACACATGTTCGCAAGAGCCCGGACACTGTATTTCATTGACACCCGCAGCATTATCGTCTGCGCACTTAGAGTTGAAAACACGACTGAATGCAGAAGCCATGGCGTTCTGTATGTCTTTGTTGTTGGATGTGAGCAAAAGACACGAACTGCATCGAATACTCTCGGCTGGGATTCAAGAAATATATGTTAGAGATTGAAAAAAAATTCAAAATGATGATAAACAAGAAAAAGATTCGTGAAAGATAAAATCACTGTTTATTTTTAATATACATTTATAACAAAATACACTAGGGGTTAGAAAACAAGCCCAGTTCAAACTTTAAATGTAATTTTTAACAACCAAAGCATTGTTTTGGGGAGCAGTTTCTTAATGGAATGCATTTGCTTAAATGTCGTTACGGATGGGTTATAAAAACCTATATAATTTTAGTCTCGTGGGAAAATATAATGATTTAAGTTACACCTGTAGCACCTAATGTTCACCATAATAAGCACGTTGTGGTGACTTTCACCCGAACCATTAATTTTTTACCGAGATGAAAAGATATTGAGCACTAAAAAAGCACTTAAAAACGCACAAAGGTGTGACTCTACCCATTAGTGAGCGGTGTGGGCGGAGCATTTCCAGTTTTTGGGACAGAAATTGATGAATATTGCCGTTTTTCTCTTGTTTTGTATTCAAAAAACACCGATCGCGATTCTTTTACATTTTGAGTAACTTTGAATCAGTTTTTGATCTGTCGGAAACGTGTCTCCAAATAAGTTTTAAGATAATAATAATGTTTACTTGCAATTCAAATTAGATCGTACATACAATAAGTTACTGTATATGGATTAAAGCAATTGATAAATGTATTAAATGACCATTATATGAACAGTGTTTAAACGAATTTTAATGACATTTGAGTATCATAAAAGAACATACTAAAAGTACGTTAATATATATATATATCTTCATTTTTATGATCTTTGAACATATTGGGAAGTAATAAATTTGATATATCATCTCTTCTTGGAAAAGATCACACACTTAGGAACTATGTTAAGTACATTTCAGTGTACAGGTAAGTTTTTCATACAGATAAAATGGGAACAAAAGAAACCAAGATTGTGAAAACCAATATCAAGATTTTTCTATGTGCGATATATCGGCACATAAAGTGAACCCTTAATCTGGAAACCATATCCAGAAACTGGGAATAATAACGTGTCATAAATTATTTCTTTCAAAATACTAATATATGCTAGTTCGTTCTTCCTTGTGTTGGAAGGGCTGTGCGCTGTTTGTTTAAAATGTCAGTGACCATCTTTACTCTTTCTACCTCTATTCTCAAGTAATTCCGGCAATTTCAAACATGTACAAGAACTGTTTTTCTAGAAAATGTAATGATATCATCTTCACATATTATTCACTATTCGCCAAAATACATAATATATATCCTTTTCTCCATAAGTAAAATTAAGTGTATCGAAATAAAGGTATACATGTATAACAGCAAAAAAAAAAAAAAAAAAAAAGGAAAAAAAGACTGACCAGTTACAAGGAGGTGAATAATACGCTTTAAACGTAATTGAATTTTTTAGTTAAAAAAATAAATAAATAAACGCACAGCAATATGTATTCCAACATTTTGTGCTTACCTTCCCTTGCCAAGTAGAGGAACAAAAAACACAAAATCCCGAAAAAAGTCATTCTGTTGGAAGGCATTGACAGTGGTGCATTAAATATACCAGTGCGTCCAAGAGTCAAGCTTTTTGCCGAACTGGTATTTCTCTGAAACCAAGGGGTTCTTTATACCACTACATTTGACCCGAAGGGGTGACCAAATTGCATTATTTTATTCATTTTGCATATGATATCAATTTATCCGCGAAAACATATGTTTTGCTGATTTCCAGACATAGATATACCGTCACGAGAATACAGTATATGCCTTTTTAGGCAGATGTCTGTGTAGATTGGACGTAAATGGTTATAAATTTAACTTGATATTTATATTGTAATCTCTAAATGCCGTTTTAAGTATACCTTTGAATATTTCACATTTGATACGTGATACCGAACGTCACGTAAACTTAATAATGGCTTTAAAAGAAATAACTAATTACAAACACGCCGTGTGAAAAGTTATCGGCAATGCTGTTTCTCACGAGGGGCAAAATGAACGCAAAAACCTTCACTTTGTCTGTGAATCCCGCTCGTAATTATCGTTCAGCACATTTCAAACGCGTATATACATGTACAACCCAGTTTTCATGAGTGCTTGGCTGACACCGTCATAGAAGACATTCGCCTAACACCCAAACGCAATATAGAGGTGCATTTCACATGCTGAAATATAAATAAATAGATAAAATTGAATGAATTTTAAGTCTTATTCAATTTTTAAAACATGTGAATAGAACAAAAATCCACGTCTGTCTTCAACTTTACATGGATTTTTCATTTTTACCATGTCTATACATTATGTAAGGAGCCGAAATGGTAATGTACATGTAGTTCCGGTAACGTATGTTCCGGGCCATATAATTTTAATTTTTATATCGCATTCCGATATATTTTGTACAGTGATATGACGTGAGGATTTTTTAAATTGTAACTCGAGGGGTTTTGCGTTTTGGCTAATACTGCGTAACGTATGTTTCCCAGGAATATTGTCAGAAGGTTTCATCTTGCCCAAAAACTTGGTGCAATAGGAAACAGGGTTTTATGTTGCTGACTGAAAAATATATTGTGGTTCCTTGAGAGAGTTTGGTATTTCTGATACAATATTTGGACCACGAATGGAAAACAGTTTATTTAATGTTCATTTTACTGTCAATGTAGTATATTCCCGCCTTTTGTAATATTCAGTGGCAAGCAAACTTAAAATGCTCAAAAAAAAAAAAAAATCAACAGCTCTACACAGATGATTATCATAAGTTTTACAACGTTATACTTGGGGGAGATAAATTAAAAAACAAAACCAGTGATGATTGGATTTTCAAAGTGAGTGGAACGTTTCCACAGTTTTGCATTTGTGACGGTAACGTATGTTTCTTTTTAGGGTTAGTTAAATAATTTTTTATTATTCATGGCTCCAGGAGAGTGAAACTTTGGCACAAACTTCTTCATATGGGACCCTTGAAGAATCAAACACAATTTGTAATCTGTGCACTAAATATATTAAGAGCATGCCTGTGACCTCATTTGCACCTCATATTGGGTTTGGAATTGGGTGTTTTAAAAAGGCATTCTGTTTGGGATTTTTCCACAAAATCGATATTTCCTCTTAATAATGATTAACAAAACACAAACAAATTTCTCCAAATCTCCCAACAGTGCTAGACCCCCCTGTTTTTGGATTCGATGCTTTATACTACTATTACTATTATATTATTATTTTATGATTATATTATTTAGGTCTAAAATAACGACTAAGACATATAACACCAGTGTCTCACGTGACCTCTTAGGAAAAATTAATCACATAATTGCGACAGAGAAGACACGGAGCAATGTGCCTTTTGTGCTATCCATTTCAAGTGTATACAAACATACCGTACCTCGAATCGTTAAAAAATGCTCTCACTCAGTTATGAATGACTCTGTATAGTATAATCAGTTATCATGATGCAAAACGCACTTGAATGATCTAAATAACATATCCTTCCTTTTACTCACTGGTGATTCCATAGTCTCTCTTGTGAATGGCTGACAATGAACATTTATAGAGGCACAAGCTTCCCATCAGGTCCGTAACGGTACCTTATAATTTTTCTATTATCATTAACTGTTTATTATTATTATTATTATTATTATTATTATTATTATTATTATTAAGATGATGATGATGATGCAATTAAATTCTTTATTGAAATTAAGACCCAATACATAAATGACACCTTCACAAAATACTCCAATTATGAATGGATTGGAAGCGGACACCTCCCATACTTTGAATCAGAAAAGTTTTCACCATCAGTTCTGTAAAATCAAGGGTAGTATCATGATTATGCAAAACTAGCGCAATACATCAACGGCAACAAAGTGATGAAGCATGTAACATTTATTATGCATGAAAAAGATAATGATTTGTTCAGTTAAAATGACTGTGCTAAGATTAAATAGAAAATTTTGTCAGCAGTTCGTGTTGATGTTTACAGAAAGAAAAATCCATAAGATCAATGGCGGCATCCAGCAAAATTTTATTATTACTATAAGCGTCGACACCGGTATGTTAGTCTCTTTTAGTACTGTATAACACGTCTTCCGTGACATAACAATGGTATCGGGGATTTGTTTTGCTGGATATGTTGACATTACACGTAAAATTTTGACAAAGGAGTAGACTAAAAACTAGCACAAAGTGTATATTGCGTAGCCATACACAAACTTTTTAATCTTAATGACACAATGAATTTTCCATTGCACCTAATTTGTTGCTTTCATTTGCAACGTTTTTGATCATCTACTAAACAGTTTCGTTGCATCGTGTATGTAGAAGTTCATAACACACGCGAAGTGAACTTATTTTCAATATATATATATATCATATTTTCAATATATATATATATAACACAAATAGATCACATTCGGAAGCACTTTTGTGCATATTGTAAAATTGGTGTTCCTGTCTTTCGTAGAAACTCTCCAGGGTTTCGTATACTGTTTCGCGAACTTGGAATCGCGTAGCAATGGTAGTTATATGGTCCCCAAAGGTGGATGCGCTATGTACTCTAAAAGCAGCGTCGGATGTGAAAAATGAATCTGCAATTTGTAGGAATATTAAGAACTGATGGGCAAATGTCCCATTTAAAGGTTTTAACAAAAATAATTAACCATTTAACTTGGACGGAACTGGAAGTCTTGCTCACGACATTAACAATGAAAAAAAGAAAAAGAAGTATGTACCCACTAAAAAAAATCACTAACACTGGAACAGTTTCCTATCAGGCAAAGTATTACCTGCATCAAATGAGCTTACACGCATTCTGGGTTTGATTGTGTTCATGCCAGTGAAAAAGATTTCTGACGATGAAAAATAAATCGCATAATATAAAAACCTAAGCTACTAAATAAAAACTCGTGAAAGAGGTTGCATAAAATGTCCACGAAGGTTTCTTTGCAATCTCCATACAAATATTCATGTGTATTTGCATATGATATGCATAACCAGCAAAATTCCTCGGAAGCCTACATGTACCTATATGTATTCATTCCATATGAAATTCCGTCAATAGAAATTCAAAAAATCACTCTCGATAAAAAAAAGACATTTTTACTTTTAAGTATTAAAATGTGAATATCAGTCATATATATGTAATTGCCCTTGCTATACCGTATACACAATCCAAGGCGAATTTACAATGAAAATAGCTCGCCCATCCTCGGGTTATTTTATATGAAGACTGTTTTCAATCGCAAACGTCAGTCATGTGCCGCGCCCAGTGATAGGCAAATGACTCGACCTGTCTTCAAAGTAAACTCGCTGTCAGTTTTTAATCTACAGGGATTCCATCAATTGTAAGCATATCATCATCATCTCCCTTTGTACTTCTTATCCGGGCTTGGTGCTTGCCTATTTTGAAATCCATAATGACAGTACTCCCAGAGAAGCGGCTCTGAAATACAAGAAATGTTTGAAAAATCAATGAAGACAAGAGTGATGATTTGTGGATTTTTTTTCCATTTCTATAATGATATAATTTTAACGAAAAGAGCATTAACTTGATGGTAAAAGACACACTTGCACGCCTATTTCTTTTATAGGGCACTGGCTACAAATCCTACTCATTACGAGAAACAAACTTTCACACCGATTTGAAGGCAACCTTCGTGGTAACCTCTAAAACGATGCATTTTACATCGGTTTTTAGGTGTATATGACCTTAAACATTTTACAAATATTACAATTATAAAAACAATGGCGCCGCTCCGGTTGATATATATGGAAACAGTGCCTATACTATGGAGCTCGAATATATCGATATTCGTAACATCGGTCAATGTGACGTAGATGACAAATGGGATATCTATCAGACTACTTATGTTTGAGGGTTGTTAAGAGTAACCAAGGTAGTATGAAGTGTATGCGCACGTTTCCAAACGTGTTGCATGGTGCTCAACCAGGTTTCTGCGGGTTTAATACGTATCAGCTTCAGGGCCGTAGCCTGAGCAAAATGCCAGGGGGGGCAGTAAGCGGACACGAGGGGGCGAAGCTACCGAGGAGGGTGGGTATGGTGTGTAAAATTCCAAATTCCAGGGGGGGCAGCTGCCCCCCTGCCCCCCCGGAGGCTACGGCCCTGAGCTTCATGTACGCTTTATGTTCCCACCTTACTTACAGTTCGTCTTATTTATTGGCTCAGAATATACGATGGATTGGGCTGAAGGGCACGTTCGATTTTTGCCACACGCCCCTTGAGGAAAAAAGAACATATTGAAAATCGAAGTCAACTTGTATACCAAGCAGCCTGTGTTTCGACACTGGTGCACCTGCACTTTTTATCCCCGTGGGAACGTACTGTCCTGAATAAACTGGATATCAATACAGTTTTACATGTATAATGTCGTGCCCAGTGCAATTACCCATAAAATACATACATTCCCTTTTTGCTCAATACAGTCAAGGTCAAATTGCCACCATTTGCCGTTTGTGCTGAAACGATTTTGTGAAATTCACCTCACTTTTAAAAGTAGGTGGTGGTTTGGTTTTCAGGCTAGTTATAAAACGTACTTATTAGAATATAGGCCCCTATATGAATTTTGGTAAATGCTCCTTTCATCGTTTCTGTATCAATTATAGAACTGCAAAATAACCCATCAATCATCGATATGGGACAAAAATGAATCAAGGTATCTATTTTTACAATGAGTCTTATTTACGGAGAATTATGATTTACGATAATGCAATTATAATGCATTTATTTTACTGCACACAGATTTTTTTCAGACTTAAAGTGTATGGTTCCGGTGCAACAATTTTTTGGATCTACATGTACATGTACATTTATGAAAACTGCACATACTGATAAACTACAGGGTAACGGTCTGACATATCCATTTGATTTGTTCATATTCATGGTATTATAGTACTTAATACTGTTTAGTTAATCTTGAAAGAGGAATGATTATCAAATCCACCGGAAGACAAGCAGTCTCGTTTTCAAAAACAAATAGTTGAAAGGGAAATGGAAGATGAGCTTTTTGTCTCCTCGCCCTTTTCTTGATATCCTGGCTCTAAAATTGTGTTCATAAAAAAGAGCACCAAAAGAGAGGATGAGAGATTGCATAGGAAAATATTAGAAGATTCAAGGACATTCAATCTCTATTGATTAGTTATGTTAAATAAACGAAAATGAGAATACAAACCGTGGGATCAATTTTATCGTCGTCTACCCATACTTCCATCGTGTCCTTTCCTGAAAGGTAAAGCTCATCAAGTGCATCAAGAGGATTTATTTGTTTAATCAGACACTATATGACAATCAATGCCACGGCAAGAGAATTTAAATTCAACCGAATTTTATACTGACACGTCGTTTTTCGGTTCAGATGCATGTGGTTTATGACGATGGCCTTTGATAAAAATGACGGTGGATTATCAATTAGGGGCCTACTCGATGAGTGAAAACTTAGATTAGCAAAATAAGGCATGTTGTACTGAGATGATACTACAACAAGTTCGACAAATAAGAGGGCTATTCTTGAGAATGTAGTTATGCGAACAACGCTTTCTCATAAGAAAATTCATTCTTTGCTGACAAGTTTCCCACCATTCTCTTTGTAAAAGCACATCTCTAATTCACAAATAAAAAGTGTTAATTACTTAACTTACTGAATATTATAGTAAGTTTATCCCCATCGAAGGTCCATGTCCACATTTTGACGCTTCCGGAGGAAATGTATTCGGTAGTATCTTCTGTCTCTTCCTCTGATTCGGATGCCGAGTTACTGAAATGTACAGAAGGCTTATAATACATGTATGTACGTCCATTTGTCCCTTGTGTTTGCATATAGACTAAGCTAACAAGAGAAGAGAAGAGAGAGAGGAGGGGGGGAGAAAGATTGAGAGAGAGAGAGAGAACAAGTACTGGTATTGTTAAACGTAGTTAACCTTTGAAACGTTCTGCACTAGTATATGTAATTTTGTTAGATTGTTAACTTGAAAAACGAATGTCTTTCAATCGATTTGCCGTAGTTACCACTGGTACCACGCTACCATCTACTCCAAAAATGACCGTGATTTACGCGAGCGCTACATGTACACAGACTTTGTACGTACACAAAGCGTATACAATGTTTGATTTCTGTTGCAAAAACGATTCGTTTTTGAGACAACAAGTACAAAGAGATTATGTAAAATACAGAATCAAGTTTTTTTAAATACTTTATTAGTGAAAGGGGTGTTGGGCAATCCCCCCCCCCTCCGGCGCCCTCCTTACCATCTGCATTCCTGGTTAATTGAAAAATTCTTTTTCACTCGAAATTAATCACGTGATGATGTTTTTTATGTAAACATCTTCACTTTGTACCTTTAAATTTCCAACTGGGGCCAATTTTCTACATAGNACTATTACACGTAAAATTTTGACAAAGGAAAAGACTAAAAACTAGCACAAAGTGTATATTGCGTAACCATACATAAACTTTTTAATCTTAATGACACAATGAATTTTCCATTGCACCTAATTTGTTGCTTTCATTTGCAATGTTTTTGATCATCTACTAAACAGTTTCGTTGCATCGTGTATGTAGAAGTTCATAACACACGCGAAGTGAACTTATTTTCAATATATATATCATATTTTCAATATATATATATATATATATATATATATATATATATATATATCACAAATAGATCACATTCGGAAGCACTTTTGTGCATATTGTAAAATTGGTGTTCCTGTCTTTCGTAGAAACTCTCCAGGGTTTCGTATACTGTTTCGCGAACTTGGAATCGCGTAGCAATGATAGTTATATGGTCCCCAAAGGTGGATGCGCTATGTACTCTAAAAGCAGCGTCGGATGTGAAAAATGAATCTGCAATTTGTAGGAATATTAAGAACTGATGCGCAAATGTCCCATTTAAAGGTTTTAACAAAAATAATTAACCATTTAACTTGGACGGAACTGGAAGTCTTGCTCACGACATTAACAATGAAAAAAGAAAAACAAGTATGTACCCACTAAAAAAACTCACTAACACTGGAACAGTTTCCTATCAGGCAAAGTATTACCTGCATCAATGAGCTTACACGCATTCTGGGTTTGATTGTGTTCATGCCAGTGAAAAAGATTTCTGACGATGAAAAATAAATCGCATAATATAAAAACCTAAGCTACTAAATAAAAAACTCGTGAAAGAGGTTGCATAAAATGTCCACGAAGGTTTCTTTGCAATCTCCATACAAATATTCATGTGGATTTGCATATGATATGCATAACCAGCAAAATTCCTCGGAAGCCTACATGTACCTATATGTATTCATTCCATATGAAATTCCGTCAATAGAAATTCAAAAAATCACTCTCGATAAAAAAAAAGACATTTTTACTTTTAAGTATTAAAATGTGAATATCAGTCATATATATGTAATTGCCCTTGCTATACCGTATACACAATCCAAGGCGAATTTACAATGAAAATAGCTCGCCCGTCCTCGGGTTATTTTATATGAAGACTGTTTTCAATCGCAAACGTCAGTCATGTGCCGCGCCCAGTGATAGGCAAATGACTCGACCTGTCTTCAAAGTAAACTCGCTGTCAGTTTTTAATCTACAGGGATTCCATCAATTGTAAGCATATCATCATCATCTCCCTTTGTACTTCTTATCCGGGCTTGGTGCTTGCCTATTTTGAAATCCATAATGACAGTACTCCCAGAGAAGCGGCTCTGAAATACGAGAAATATTTGAAAAATCAATGAAGACAAAAGAGATAATTTGTGGATTTTTTTCCATTTCTATAATGATATAATTTTAAAAAAGAGCATTAACTTGATGGTAAAAGACACACTTGCACGCCTATTTCTTTTATAGGGCACTGGCTACAAATCCTACTTATTACGAGAAACAAACTTTCACACCGATTTGAAGGCAACCTTCGTGGTAACCTCTAAAACGACGCATTTTACATCGGTTTTTAGGTGTATATGACCTTAAACATTTTACAAATATTACAATTATAGAAACAATGGCGCCGCTCCGGTTGATATATATGGAAACTGTGCCTATACTATGGAGCTCGAATATATCGATAAGCGTAACATCGGTCAATGTGGCGTAGATGACAAATGGGATATCTATCAGACTACTCATGTTTGAGGATTGTTAAGAGTAACCAAGGTAGTATGAAGTGTATGCGCACGTTTCCAAACGTGTTGCATGGTGCTCAACCAGGTTTCTGCGGGTGTAATACGTATCAGCTTCAGGGCCGTAGCCTGAGCAAAATGCCAGGGGGGGGGCAGTAAGCGGACACGAGGGGGCGAAGCTACCGAGGAGGGTGGGTATGGTGTGTAAAATTCCAAATTCCAGGGGGGGCAGCTGCCCCCC